GGAGTACTGGTGGACGGTGGGGAGTTGGACGGAGTACTGGTGGACGGTGGGGTGGTGGTGGTGGGAGTTGATGGAGGAGGGTAGTAGTTATATCCTGACTCAGGTGCCGGAGTGGGGCTGCTACCGCCGGTGGGGGAGGGCGCCACATCGGGTCCATTGGGAGTACCGTAACTTGGCGAAGGTGTAGTAGGGGAAGGAGGACTGCCACCACTGCTCGGTGGACTAGAGCCACTAGTTGGTGGGATATCGCAGTTAGTAGCAGGTGGGTTTTGTCCATGGTGATGATGGTGGTGGTGGTGATGGTGGTGGTGGTGATGCCCATGATTAGAAGGTGTACTAGAAGGAACCGGCGTTGTGCTGCCGCCTGACGGCGGACTACCTGTAGCCGGCGGCGGTGGAACTTGGTAGGAAACTGCAAAAAAACCACCGTAAATAAAAAATCATCAAAAGGGTACACCAAATTCCATCAAATATACAAAAAACATTACAAAACTCATTGCACAAAAATCTTAAACCGTTACCAGGTGGATCATTTGCCGGAGCTGGCGGCGGAGTTTGGTAGGAAACTGCAAACCAACCACCGTGAATCAAGAATCATCAAAAGGGTACATCAGATTCCATCAAATATACACAAAATGTTACAAAACTCTTTGCACAAAAATCCTAATTAAACCTTTACCAGGTGGATCATTTGCCGGAGCTGGCGGCGGACTTTGGTAGGAAACTGCAAACAAACCACCGTAAATAAAGAATCAGCAAAAACATACATCAGATTCCATCTAATAAACACAGTTTTACAAACTTTTGCTCGAAATTTCCGAACTTTTATACCTACGGGTGGAGCATTTCCATAAGCAGGCGGTGGGTTTTGGTAAGAAACTGCAAACAGAATCAAGAATCACCAGAAACTTATATCAGAATCCATCAAATACCCATAATTTTAACTGCTCAAATTTTCAAAACTTCTACCTGGCGGTGGATCATTTGCAGGAACAGGTGGTGGATTTTGATATGAAACTGCAACGAAACCATCAGAAATCAAGATCACTTCCATCAAACACACAGAAAACTTACAAAACTCAAAAGAAGTTGTAAGTTGTAACCTTTTACGTACCTGCGGGTGGAGGAGGGCCTGAGTATGGAGAGTAAAAGAAGTTGAAATTCTTTTTGTCTTCGAAGCTTCTTGAAGCAGCAGCCAAACCAGCAGCAAAAACCCAGAAAAGCAAACAAGTTTTTAGGGTTTTAGTCGTCACCATTTTCTTTCTCTTTGAACTTTCGAACGATGGCTTGGAGAAAAGGCTTTGGTTTCAGTGGTATATATAGCCAAAAGAAAGATGGAGGGATGGGTAAGATAGTAAATTAAAGCACCGAGAGGAGGTATGTGGTTGGTTGATTTCTTGATGTCTGCATTTAATATGCCATTGATTGCTCACTCCATGGTTACTAACCAAATTTAGCCAAGGTTTTGTCTTAATTCGTCTCATATTTAATTTAATTAGAAATTTGTTTAATTTCGATATTTTTAATATAATTTAAAATGGAAAAAAAGTTATAAAATCGTGTAATAATTAATGGATTGACTTTTGAATAAATTTATGAACTAATGCAGAAATATATTATAATGTTATGTTTGTTAACAAATATATTAAATAATATTATAATTTACCTTTTTGATACGAAAATATATACAAAGACAGAATATAATATTTGATTCCAAAAATATCGAAAAAAGAATTGTTGGATATTAATTTGGTAAAAACTTTATGATAATGAAATGTATTTTTGTATAATTTATTATAATTTTAATTTTAAAAGTCAAACCAAATTGTAATATTATTATTTTAACAAAAAAAAATTGATGTAAAAGGAAATGAATTTTCTTAAAGGCTTACAAATAATGTGGCTATTAGTGTTGTTTATTAGTTGTGGTCTAAAACTTGAATATAAAGATGATGTCTAATTGGTTTAAACTTAAGTTTTAAAGGTTGAAAGTGTTTGGAGGTCACATGTTCAAAACCAAAAAGAAATAAATATCCCCTTGTGGCCACAGAGATACAAATATGATGACTTTGAGCTACCCGAAAAACAGATGGTCGTCTCAATATTAGTCGGCTCATATAACGGGTTGAATATTCATGTTAATAAAAAAAATTAATGGTCCAAAAGATATTTTAAAATTTAATGCATATACATTTATAAATATGTAAATATAATAAAGATAGGAAAAACTAAAAACCATTTAACAATTAATAAAAACTATTAAAATTTTGAAAAAATGATTTTGATTTTAATAAATACAAATTAGAAATCAAAGTTAAAATGGGACCAATAATAAAAATCCGTTTGGTTCTTATCATGGTAAGCACTTACCGTGATAAGAGTTGTCGCTCTCATTTACCGAGTAAGACTCATGGTTCTTATCTCGCTCTTACCGGGTAAGATCTTAGTTTTTATCATATTCATCCGGTGAGGTAATGTGACTTGATAAGTGTTCGCCGAGTAAGTGTTTAGTCGGATAAGTGTTTGATAAACGGTTCCTAAAAACGTTAATTATCGAATAATCCGTAATTTACTCTTGATTTTCTGTAATTAAAAATTTAATATCTTTATGCAATTTCGTATTGTCACCACGTGATTCCTTTGATAAATACAATAAAAATATCAATTAATTTGGTAAAACCGTTACAATTATCGTTATTTAATAATTAGTAGATTAAAGTTTAAAGTCAACCTTCTCTTTTTATTATATTTATATTGGAAAGAAAATATTTATATATGGAATAAAAATGAAAATATTTAGGGAGATTTATTAAACTAGTTGTTTCCGATGAACATTTATTGGTAGTCAAATCTTGTAGTTTGAATCAAACTACTCAAGATTTTACAAGTGTTCGGTTTATGATCCGTGAAATGTACTTTGTATGAAATAAAATATGATTTTGGTGGGTTATTTTGTAAGCTAATAAGCGGGTGTTTGAGATTGCTTATTTAAAACAACTTATGATTTTCTGTAAAAGTGCTTATTAACTTACATGGTATCAAAACGGAGTTTTGTAAAAAGTGTTTGGATTAGCTTATAACGATACCAAAAAACAATAAGTTGATAAGTTGTTTTCTAATGTTTGACAAATTTTGTTTATATATGAAAAATGACCAAAGTAGACAGTCTTCCATATTATTGACAAACATTTATATCAATAAGATTAATAATTAACAAACATTAATAAAATATAGTTAAAATGGTAAACTGCTAATAAGCAGTTTTTCATAAGTAATGAATGATTTACTTATCAAAAACTGTTTATTACCGGTTTGGCACCGATATAAGCAGTTTTTTTTCCCTCACCCAAACACTACAATTTAGCTTATCACCGGTGTCAGACTAATATAAGTAAAAAAAAACACCTAAAATAAGCAATCTCAAACACCCTCTAAGAAAGTTCTATAAAGTAACACTACTTGGAATTATACTTAATTCAAAAAAGTACATTTCTCTTGGGAAATTTTGGCCATTTTGATCAAAATGACTGAAATTAGGTTAATAAGTGAAGAACATTGTCCAATAATTTTCCATATTTTTGTGGGGATTAAGTAAAGTTTAACCTATTTTTTAGAAGTATAATCACAATTTAACATGTAGTCGGAAAAAACTCATTTTAGGGTCTTTTACCAAAAACTTATTGGGTGAGCATTTACCAGCATGATCACCATCATCACCTATCCTATCAGATGACATTCTTGTTCATCAAAACGAATAATTTGTAAGCTTTTTTTAACTGCTAAATGTTTACTGGGGTAAGAGTTTTCTCTCTTATTCACCGAGTAAGATTTTTGATTCTTACTATGTCTTTTAGCGGTAAGATTATGAATCTTTGTTTGTTTGTTTTTTTCATTAACCTGGATATCCAACCCGCTATGCGAGCCGACTAATCACAGGGCGACCACCTGCTTTGCAGATAGCCCGAAGTCACCGCATTTGAACCTCGGTGGCCACAAGGGGATTTTTATTCCTCCTTGGATTTGAACATGGGACCTCCTGATACTTTTGACCTTTTGTGCCAAACTTAAACCAATCAGGCACCACCCTTGTGGTTATGAATCTTTGTTATGCCCATCTTGAAGGTAAGTGACACACGGTAAACGATTACCATGTAAGCATTTGATGAACGACCCCTTAATTTTGGTGTTGAACAATAAAACCATATCACATGCAGAAACAACTTTAGAAAGAGAAAAATTGAATCGAGAACCAAACCAAGCATAATTGATTCAATTCAGTTGAGATTAACGGATAGGTTGTTTGAAACAAGTCTTTCGGTTTTTCAACTAGAATATAATAACGTGGAAAAAAAAGGACCAAGTTTCGGAAAACAAACAGCAGATTTAGAATGGTTCACCCGAACTTTGCTACTTCGCTTTTTTGAACTATCTCGAGATACGACTGTCCAATATTGTATCGTTCATGGTTAAACAAAGCAGTTTGTACAATGACTGATACAGACTTTGACTATAACAATAGTTTAAATAAATCACTTACAATGATATAGACATATGATAAATCTTATACACACACCGAACACAGTCAGTTAAAATTTTCGGGATTATGAAGCGATATGAATCTCGAGATAATTTGTTGCACATTTTTCTACGTGTTTATTCATGAACAACTTCTGTAACACAAATTCCAAAGCATTATGATAGTCATTTTCTGGCTTTTTGATTCGTTTTGATATACCCGATATATAATATCGTAAGTTCACAACAGTATTTTCGAGATAAATCATTAAAGATATTAGGTCCATAAAATATGTTCGGTTCCATCTTTTATAATCAAACAATTCATGAAATATTACCTAACACACACACACACACACACACATCAAGAAACCATTCAAAAGATCTGATTCGTTCTTCACAATACCAACTTTCAAATCAGTCTTATCATTCGAAGTCTCGGACGCTCAGTTGTCCGCTCAACTTTTCCTAGTACTTAAAAACTCTCCATTTACAACCTTTTTTGAAATTCGTTCCAAACCTTTTTTTTATTAACCTGAATATCCAACCCGCTATGCGAGCCGACTAATCCCAGGACGACCACCTGCTTTGCAGATAGCCCGGAGTCACCGCATTTGAACCTCCGTGACCACAAGAGGATTTTTATTCCTCCTATGGATTTGAACCTGAGACCTCCTAGTACTTTTGACCTTTGGAGTCAAACTCAAACCAATCATGCACCACCCTTGTGGTTTGTCAACCGTGGGTGTTCAGATCTCTGATATGTAGCTCAGTTGACAAAGAGACGGAATGACTTTGTCTAAAAACAACAATTTCTTTATTCAAGGGTTGTTTGATTCTTGCAAGTAAATAAAAATGACAGAGAATGAAAATTAAAATGAATTTTTATTTTTCTCAATTTAATCTATAATAAAAATTTGGTTTGTAAAATAAATAATCTTATTATATTATATCAAAATTATAAGTTTCTTTTCCCTTCTAACAATTCCGACAACTTTACGGTAGGTTTTTCCTTAACCGTTTGACTTTGACCACCATAGTTATTTCATCTATTTAATTATTTCAACCAATTTAATAATTTTGTTTTTAATAAATGTTTTAAAATATAGAAATTAATTATTCTGAAACATATCTATATTACATTATAAAGTATTTGATAAAAATTCTTAAAAATTATTTTTTATGCATGAAGTTTGTTTATTGATACATATTATTTAAAATTAAGAATTACAAGTAAATTATGCATAAATATAATTTATTAAAGCTTCATATTTGAATTCGTATAACTAACTGCAGATAAATATAATCAAATGCGAGATAAACATCTCATTTTAAATATAAAAAATCTAAAATATAATCAAAATAATCATTGAGTTCTAACAAAATACTTAGTTATTATCTTTATAAAAAATTATATTATTAAATATAAATTAAATTATTTCGTTATTAAACATAAATTATACCAAAAACAAGAATTTTTAAAAAGGTTAATTTGATACTGATATCGATATATATTTTTTTCTCAAAAGTTTATGATATTTTTAAATTTATATTTTATTCAAAAATAAAAATATTATCGCATTCTCAAAACCACATGAAACCTTGTTATATCGACATAAGAAAAAGAATAAAACGAAACACCGAAATTGATATGTGTTTTGATGCATTGCACGAGTACCCTTTTAGTATTATAAAGCATTTGACAAAAAAAATTAAAAACTATTTTTTATGCATGAAGTTTTTTATTGATGCATGTTACTTAAAATTAAGGATTACAAGTAAATTGTGCATGAGTACAACTTATTAAACCTTTATTTTTGAATTCATGTAACTAACTGCAGATAAACATAATCATATACAAGATAAACAACACATTTTAAATATAAAAAATCTAAAATATAACTAAGATAATTATGAGTTCTAATAAAATACTTAATTATTATTGTTATAATATTTGTTACACTTTAAAACTATTATTTATGTTCTATGAAAAATAGTTTTAATTGATTCTTAATTGTGGGAATAGAAAAAAGAAAAAGAAGCAATTCTCTTTCAAACAATCATTTATGTGACTTCTTTAAATTTGGATAATTTTACCATTTCTTTTATAACTTCTACATTTTTGAGAATCTGTTGGAACAAAAAAATTAGCCTGAGAATATCTCGTTTTTTTATTTCAATTAATCTGTTGGAAATGCTCTTATAATTCATCGTATTTTTTTTTAACAAGATTATAGATTTTATTGCATTATGAAATTAAATACACACGTAATAAAGGTGTAAACAACGTTATCTTGGTCTTGATATTCTGCTCTTCGTCAACGGTGAGAATGGGGAGGAAGAGATGAGTCGGAGGTGGGGGAGGCCGGTCACTGATGGGCATGGAAGGGTGGTGTCTGATTGGTTTGAGCTTAACTACGAAGGTCAAAAGTACCAGGAGGTCTCAGGTTCAAATCCAAGAAAGAATAAAAAATCTTCTTGTGGCCACGAAGGTTCAAATGCGGTGATTTCGAACTATCTGCAAAGCAGATGATCGTCCTAGGATTAGTTGGCTCGCATAATGGGTTGAATATCCAGGTTAATAAAAAAATATCTAAATATTTCTATACTACTTTTTAATAATAGTAAAAGATGAAAAGACCGAAATGACCTTCATTTAACGGTAATGACAACGGCTTAACTGGTATAGACCAAAACCAAAACCAAAACCAAAATGAAAGATGATGCTCTTTGTAATTTCCAGTTGTTAATAACACACTCAAATTTTGGCCAAAGTCCATGGACTATTTCTTTTTGTAATTTACTCGATAATGAACTACTGACATGTTTTTATTCAATTTAATATAAAATGGTTGATGGTCACAACCCTTAGATGAGACTCATTCAACGGTTGAGATTTCTTTTTGGATAGCCATGGGGTTTGGGACAGTTTGTGCATAACAATTAATTGAGATTGATTTTCAATGTTTTTGGAATTCTCATTTAATTATATCTCGTGTAATATACATATACACATGTATTTTAGTATTTTTATGTATATGTATATATATATATATATAGAGAGAGAGAGAGAGAGAGAGACTTGGGATCACGTGAGACCGGTCTGTTTTCGTGAGACCCGTTTTTTATACTTGAAATTTCAAAGCAAAATGTTGTGAAGGTAACATTCACAATGTTTTTGTTGTGAATGTTCGGCTTTTTTTTTACCTTCACAGTGTTTTTATTGTGAAACTTCAAGTGTAAAAAAGTAGTCTCACGGGTCTCACGAAAACATACTGGTGTCACGTGAACCAACCCCATATATATATATAGAAGAGCGAGGGAGAGAAGGGGGGGGGGGGGAGAAATCATTTACAAAACCAACCATTAATACAAACAATACAAACCAATTAATTGAGATATTTATACAAATTATGAGAATTTTATTTATTATAATTTAAATATTTATTATGATCAACACTTTATATTAAGGAACAATAAAAAAATTCATTAGAGTAAGTGAACAGTTAAGATTGGTTAGTATGATTTATACCGATAGATGTGTTTGTAAACAACACCCCATACACACATATGATCCGTGTGTTATGTGAAAACCAAACTCGTAAAAAAATCAACCAGAACCCCCAAATGAGTTTGATTTTAAGATATAATTCATATTATTTCACATGTATTATTTTTGTTTTTATGTTATGAACCTGTCTTTTATGTATAAACGTATTATTGTGTTTTTCCACATGAAAAACATTCATCACGTCATGTATAAAACAACACTTCATAATTATTTATTAATGATATTATGATAAAGTTTATTCAATTCATATTATTTTGTGTTGTCTTACATTTTTATTTACTATACATCATGGACGGGCCCATAAATTTCTTTACCCGTAACCTTTTGTAGATGAAGTTTACTTTGCAAACCTCGTTATTTGTACAAACCTCATTCAATCAATAATAATTTTTTTATTTTGTTCATTTTTTTATAATTATAAGAGGTTGATTAATCATTTTTATTGGGGAGAGTGTTAATCATGAATATTATCATCTTCACTATTTTAATTTTAGATAAATACATGAAACAGTTTCATTAAAATTTCATTAAGTATTATATGAAACAATTTCATGATCATATATGAAACAACTTTATAAAAAAAAAAAATATTATATGAAATAATTTCACAATATTAAACAATTTCATGAAATTTTTTCATAAGATTAAACAATGAAATCGACGGATGAAAATGTTTTGCACCGGTTTATATAAATTGGGTGGTTTGCATTTGATCGCTCTACACCTCTTGTATTTAAAGGGCCGTTTACCAAAAGCTTACTCGATAAGTGCTTACCAAGTCATTTTACCTTATCGGATGAACATGACAAATATTGAAAATCTTACCCGGTAAGAGTGATGACAAAGACCGAGAGTCTTATCCTGTAATTAAGAGTAACGAATTTTAATCGTTAAGCGCTTGTCAGTAAATTATTACATACAATGTCATTTTAATGGACTAAAATCTTACCCCGTAAGTTAAATGAAAATGTTTGACTCATATTTTATTATTATTATTATTATTCATAACTATATATTTTAAACGTTTATCAAGTATTAAACTTTGATTTAACGTTAAATAACATAATTAATTTACAAATAATGTCTCATTGATGTTATCATTTGAAATATATGCTTTGTGAAATAGTATTCATATATTTATGCAGCGAAAACAAAAAAGGCTCCGATTTCGGGCGGAGAATTCAATCTGCAACCATCATAGATTTCATCGACAACCCCTCTTTCTTCTTTACTTGTACTTCATTGCTCTCACACTCCATCGCTCAACTGCAACGCCTAATTTCTTGAAATCTTGGCTTCCCCTCAGTTATTGCCGAGTTAGTTGCCTTCTTCCTTCCTTAAATTCTTGATCTTGATCTTGATTTTCGCACTAACAACTCGGATCTTAGTTTCACTGTAGTTGCTCAATTGCTATTTTTCTGTCGTTGAATCTAATGCTGTGGCTCTTTGTAGACACAATATTGATCTTGTGTGTTGTTTTGGCAGCGTTTGATATAAGACATGGATTCCGCCGCCATGACATTTTGCAGAAGTAAACCAATCTCTTCTCCTCCGGTATGTTTAGCCATTTCACTTCTTTCTAACCATCTATTTCGATTGCTATATGTATGCGAAATTGTATTATAGTTTGTATGCTTTTGTGTACTGGATGTCAGTAGAAGTGTAGAACAGTATGCGCAGTTTTATGTAAATTTCTTGTTTGTTTTCAATCAATAAGGCTAATGGTTGAGGAAAGCGTTTTGTGGTAGTCGATTGGTAAACCTCTTGCTTGGGTTGTGATTAATTCCTTTTTCTAGATGCTATTGGAATTATTTTGGCTGGTTAGACATCTGTATTAATGTTTTTCTGGTTCAGAAAATCTGAAAAGATGTCAAAGAAACTGCTTTGGTTTAAGATGTAGGTTGAGATTTCCAGCTCATTTCACCATTTGTAGTTATCTTTTGATAAATCTTATAGGAAAGTACTCTATCTATTATGTGTGAAAATAGCTAGAGACACACATTTTGAGCAACAACCATTTACTTGGCTATATTTGATAGCTGCTAGCCCTAGTCTCCTCTGTAAAATTGATTTTTTTTTCCTGCAAGAATCCATCAATCAAGATTCTATTTTGAAGGATGTATTCTTGAAAAACATCATTGCTGGAGATTCCAGGCTGGAGGGGAGCTGAAATGGAATGATGGTGATTAAATGGCCCGGGGTCACCATAAGGGCTTTGCCAAGAAAAATATAAAATTGCAGTTGATTTTTCTATTAAGCTGTATAAAAAATTAGAAACATGATGTAATATTGCTTAATAAGTTTAAAAAGAACCCCAAAAAGGCTCATCTAACTTCGGATAAGCTAAAAAGCTCATATAACTTGGAACAAAGAGAGTATTGTCATTGAATGACTTGAGATTATGATGTGATATATCCTTGTGAAGGTATTATCTTTTCTATCTTATTAGACTAGTTGTATGTTTTAGGCTTGTGAGTATATAAATAATCAACTGAAACCAAATCCACACAACCTTCAAGAAAAACTTTGTCCCAATATTTAGTTTTTATTGGGTATTTACAAAGTTGATATTGGGTACTGCTTTATCATGTTTATTCGTAAGAACTTCCCTTGCATGCATGTTAGGGTAACTGTGTTTGGCTTTGTGCTTGAACATACTGTCACTGGGTTGATGAATTTTCATTGGTATGTACATTTTCTGATTAGTGTTCACATGCGATGTTTGATGCTAGGGTTTATTCATTGGGAGGTCTAGTGGAATCAAGAGCTCCCAGTGTAACTTCTTGGTGGGAAGTAAGGTGAGCTTTCCTAGGCAGAGAGTTCAGGCTTCTCAAAAGGTTCGTAGATCGGCGAAACGTGAGGGAGCACTTGGTGTTACTTGCCGTGCTGAAAAAATTCTGGTGGCAAACAGAGGGGAAATTGCGGTTCGAGTGATTCGAACAGCTCATGAGCTAGGGATTCCTTGTGTTGCAGTGTACTCCACCATAGATAAGGATGCACTTCATGTGAAACTTGCTGATGAATCAGTTTGCATAGGAGAAGCTCCTAGTAGCCAATCGTAAGTCAACCTATCTCCATCACATAAATAGCTGGAATTTTTAGTTCATTTCGGCTTGGTTATAACTTGTCATAGCAATCATAATTTAGTGGTGCTACTTGGAGGCCTTAAACTATATACTCCTGTAGCACACACATTATTGGTTTAGAATGGAAATTATTCCATTCTGATGCTTGTTACAGACTGCTGTAGTTGTACACTGCTTTGTGATGTCAAGCAGTTAGAATGTGGTTCCTGCATGAAAGATGCCTTCTGTGGCTTGGGTTTTGTAATTTATCTGATCCTGTTGCCCTCTGTTTAAAGAGGATGCCCGATGGCCTACTGCTCAGTGCTTAATCAGCTGCATCATTTTTGTTACTTCACATTTCTTGTCAATTGCATCAGATTCTGCCTAGCTAAGCTGCAAGTCACAAGGTGAAAAATGTTACTAATTTTGTCAAAATAGCCACACAATTCTTTCACTGATTGTAAAGTGAACAGGTAGTCAACTAGTGAGAGTTTACTCTGGCCACCACAGATAATTTGAAGAATTTTAAATCAATAGTTTGGCAATATTGATTCAGGACCGTATGCTTTCATAGGACACTACTATCTACTGCAAAGAATAGGCTACCTGATTGGGATTTTAATAAAAAGCTTAGAACAAATCGGAGTTGCTGGCAATTTCTACTGGCCTGGAATAGATCTGTTTCCCATTGAAAAAATGGTGTGGTTTAATATCAACATATTTATGTTTCGCTAGTCCATCATTCAGATAGATTTATCTCAGCATGTAGCCAAGTATGAGGAGTTGTTTAGATTGGCGTCAACTGATCTCATTCAGATTGACCTCGCCAGACACATGCAGGGTACTATCAACCTGACGTTTCATGCATGTTGAATATTGATTTGAATGGATTAATAAAACAGAAGGAAATGTTTTTCATTAATGTTAGTGGCCAGCTTGCCCAGACAAGGTCATTTGTCAAGACTGGACAAAGTAAGCCATATAGAAAACCAGGCAAGGCATAATAGGAATCTCTATTTGTTGGTTACCTGAGATCAGACATGTTACGATCATCTATTCAGTATAAACCTGAACATGTGTGTAAATATTCGTATAAATTGACATATTTGTGTCAATTGTTAGCACCTTCGCTTGATTCCTAGTATCATGCGTTGTCACTTTTTATTCACAGGTACTTGCTGATACCCAATGTCCTGTCTGCTGCTATCAGTCGTGGATGTACAATGTTGCATCCCGGTTATGGTTTCCTTGCTGAGAATGCAGTTTTTGTTGAGATGTGTAGAGAGCATGGAATCAACTTCATTGGGCCAAATGTAAGTATCTTATTATTGTCAATAGAAACTGAAGGTGCATCTTCAGTTCTAACTCAGAAGAACCAAAGTCATGTATTCTCGTTGGCAATGAAAACTATTGATGATAATAAATGATAATTCTTTCACTCAATACATGTTTTTTAAGTTTCAAGTTCTATGAAATGTGTGTAAAGTCAGACACTATAATCAATCTAACAGAAACAGTGAAAAAGCTAAAACAAGTGAAATATGGATATACAAATACAGGTCAACATTATGCTGCCTTCTACTCTTTAACTCATTTGTATTATGCAATTTAATCAATCAGGTATTTGTAGTTGCTGTTACATATGTGGAATTTCTTAATATTACAATATATCTTGATTGTTTAACATACTTCTTTGCAGCCTGACAGTATTCGTGTTATGGGGGACAAAGCAACTGCCAGAGATACCATGAAGACTGCTGGTGTTCCAACTGTACCAGGAAGTGATGGACTATTACAGGTATTTTGATTCATTTACATGACATTGTGATATTGAATTTCTTGACACCAAAGATCAACCATTTTGTTGATGTATTTTCATTGTCATTATAGAGCACCGAAGAAGGCATCAGGCTCGCCGATGAGATTGGCTTTCCTGTGATGATCAAGGTAAGCTGTAATATCATTTGTAAAACAGATGCATATTTTTGTTTAAGATGTTGGAAACTTGCAAGATAATTCATCACTCCTTCATTTGCGCATATGGCTGAAGAATGTTTCCCTTGATTTGGTGTTTTTCTGTGGTCATGTAATGTGGTGTTGACTTTTAAATAGTGATGTGGTTCTTGTCACCAAATCACCATCTGTTGGCAGTTTAAGATCTAGATAGATTCTTGCATTTATTTTGCAGGAACGTGAGGATTGCTCGTGCATATCTAAATGCACACTTGCAATTATAGGGTTTTTCTTTTCTTTCAAATATCTCTTTTTGTTCAAGAATTGGTTGCATGTTGCATGCATCCTGAAGTTATAGTCCTGAATTCTTCCTCATGCCTGGATAAAATTGTCATATTTGAGGGAACTCTTATGCTACCTTTCTCTTCTTTTTGATGAGAAGATGTAAATAACATAGAAAACATCTATAGAATATATTGTTAGAAGTGGGATAAATTTCCTACTTTAAGACTTCATTCTTTAGCTAATATTGTGCTATTTCTCGTCTTAACATTTTGAACATCAACAAGTTGAATGGCTTTATCTTATAGACCATGGTCCATGTAGAAAACATGATATTATTTTATGTATCATTATAAATTTCTGTATTTCCAAATAAACAACATTAAATGCTTAAACATTTTATGCAGAAAAAGGAAGGACTGTTGGGACTTGTTTACACCAGAATTGAGATTGAATTTGTCATGTAGCACATAGCTCTCCTAGTTCCAAATTCCCCATTGTCTGCTTGTGCCTATCAATGAGTCAGGTCTTCATCTAGATTTGATTTAACCCTATCCATTTTATAAACCAACAAATGGAATAAAGGGTTCCTTCCATGAAATATGTGTCCAACCACTCTCCTGCTGATTGGGTACCTTTCCATGTATCTCTAAATGACCATAGTCTCACTGCAGATGACCGTGGGATTGTAGATGAGCTCGAACCACCCTTACGCGACTTTAATAAATATAGTCTCCACTTTTGTAGTACAAGTCTTTGAAGCATGGTACCATAGAAGGAGAGATATATTTTTATTTGTACGATACAGATTGTGTTATAAAAAATATGTTATAAGATATAAGTTTGGATATCATACTTTAAAAACGTATACTGTACAAACAGAGATGTGATTGTATTGATATGGTATACTTTGTGTTATAAAAAATTTATTGTACAATAGAAGTTTGGGTCTATGCTTAGTAGACTTGTATATTGCAAGTGGAGATGTATCTTACTTGTATGGTAGAAGTTGTGTATAATTTTGTATTTTCTCTTCTTATGAAAACATGTTAAATAAGTCGGTTACAATGGGTAGTATTATTTATGAGACAATAATATTCCATAATCACTGGTATAATGAAATAGTTTTACATGTTATGTAGCTTTTGAGTTCATTGCAATCCAGTTAACATGACATCTGAAACCACTTGAAAGCTTCTTTTTCTATTATCTGATAATTTGGTGATCAAGTTCCAGTTTGAACTATTGACCCCCCCATACCCAAAAAGGGATCACTTTGAACTATCTATATATCTTCAAAGGAAAAAGGGTGAGAGGATGCGAGTTATTTTGATAGAAAGCTAACCAGGTCATTAATAAATGTTTTATGCTCCATAGGCTACAGCAGGTGGTGGAGGTCGTGGAATGCGTCTTGCAAAAGAGCGTGACGAGTTTGTGAAGTTGTTGCAGGTATTTTGTACAACTTACATCTAACTACGTTATGGCCATCTTTTTTTTCTTTGCTTTTTGAATAATTACATACAGCAACATTTTTGTAAGTTTCAGATCGCATAGATTCATATCCTACAGCTAATGTTTATTGATGGTACTTGTACAATTGTTTTTGGACCTCTATGTTTCTCCATTCTAGTTGTCAAACAACTGCTTGATCTTTGAAAGTATGCCTTTGTTGCTTGTATTGTTCTCTAAACACGTTATGTCCTTCTGGAAGTCGAATAACTGCTGCATCTTATACAGTGATGAGTAAGTGCTGCATCTCATACTCTACTATTTAAACATTGTTCCTTAGTATTTACCACTTGACCTAGGAGAAAGAAGAACGGGAAAGGTTAATGCCCTACGATAACAGAGAGCAAAATAATATTATGGATATGTTGGCATTTAAGGAAATTATGGTCCATGGTTGGAGCTGAGCTTAGATTGGATTTTCTCAGTATCATGGCAATTGCAGATATGACATCCAGTCACTTACCAACAGATTGATGCAAAGGATTGTTGAATCAATTAATTAAGCTATTTCATGATCTCCTTCAATACACAACTCTTTTGAAGACTTCTCCACATTATATATAACATACAAGCATGTGAGCATGCTCTTTCTCAAACCTACATCAATAGTTTATCCACTCATGTTTCTCCTGGTTGCTGGTATTAACCACTTGAGAAGAAATTTTTGGCTGTAATCTATCTATTGGCATCTTGGAATTGTATATCGATATCATATTGAAAATTCCCTTTTGTTAATTATGTTTCTCAACGAAGCTCTCCTTTTGTTTGAATGTTCTTAATAGCAAGCTAAGAGTGAGGCTGCGGCTGCATTCGGAAATGATGGTGTTTATTTGGAGAAGTACATTCAAAATCCAAGGCACATTGAATTCCAGGTAATTTTTTTTTATCGTAGTGTTGCTGTCATCCTAAGTTCAACTTGATCACTGTTTGGTTGGTGGGAAGTTCCATTCCATCCATTATCCTACAAGGAATGCACTTGCTGGATGCCTTGGAAGTGAAAAAGGAAAATGCCCCTGGAGAGATCTACTATCATGGAAAAAGATTCTCTGATTGTTGGGACTGATGATACTCCTTGTCTGAAAGAAATAAAAATCAGGCTAATGGCCATCTGAATTATTGGAGCATTAACTTGCTCCATTAATGGAAAAAGAAATAAAAATCAGGCTAATGACCATCTGAATTATTCCTAGTATGAATTCTGCATGTAGCCATGTTCTTAAAGAGTGCTGTTACAATAATGGTGATGCCTGACATGATCTCTTATCTCGTAGAAAAAAATGATATTCTCTGTTGTGTTAATCTGTTATTCTACAACTAACCGAAGGATCCAAAGCTAGTTAAATTAGAGGTTCATATAATCATTAAAAAGACTGAAGTTATCACTTATCATCACTTCCTCCACTATCAAATGTTTTATTTAACTCTGTTATAACGTCATTTTTTTTGCATTGATGTTTTTTTGTTAAATTAGCAATAAACATGAACATGGGTCTGTATTTTTTGGGCTTGTGAAAGTAGCAAACCATCTTAGAAGCTGAATCATTCATGAACTATAACACAAAAGAACAGTTATTGTGGAAGGTAGAAGAAATACAATGGGGGCAAACATGGTGTACAAACTTGTGAAATTTCTTCTGGTGTCACCTACCTTATGTTCCCCCATACAGATTCTTTTAGTTGGCATAAAATTTCATTTTGTACTTACCTATATAAGAAAGTTACTTGGGGGTGTTTACTTGTTTCTATTTAATGTTTACCACTAGCGCCTTCCGTGGGCTTGATCAACTTGTTGAATTTCTAACTGCACAAGACATGCTTCTTCAGGTTCTTGCAGATAAATTTGGAAATGTTGTTCACTTTGGAGAGCGTGACTGCAGTATTCAGGTACATATCTTTTAATTTTTTCTCAACATGTTTGTTTCTATGGTCTTTCTACACTTGATTAAAGGACAAAAGATAATCCATTTAAAACTGTCCATTTTCCCCATGGTTGCGTAAGAGTTACCTTCTAACTTCCAGTGTCTTGAAAGCCACGTCAACTCTAGTTGTCTGTTTGCACCAAGAATCATGAACTATGATTTAGAAGCTGACAGATGGTTATGGACAATAATGGAGACATCTTCTATGTTTAGTGATATAAATCCGAGCATTATATTTTGGAAAAAGAATCCGAGCACTATTTTTAGCTAGTGTGAATGACAACGTATCTTAAACTTGCCCGCTTGTGCAGAGAAGGAACCAAAAGTTGCTTGAAGAAGCACCCTCGCCTGCATTAACCCCAGAGCTGCGGAAAGCCATGGGTGATGCAGCAGTTGCTGCAGCAGCATCAATTGGCTACATTGGTGTTGGTACTGTAGAGTTTCTTTTGGATGAAAGAGGTTCATTCTACTTCATGGAAATGAACACTAGAATCCAGGTTGGTTGAAGAATTTATATATATATACATGTAGAAGCAACTAACTGTGACATGCATCTTATTGTAAATGTTGTGACACTTTGTTTTTTATACAAAAAAAGGTAGAGCATCCTGTGACCGAAATGATATCTTCAGTTGACTTGATAGAGGAGCAGATCCGGGTGGCTATGGGTGAGAAACTACGGTATACACAGGTATTGAATTGCTTGCTTTCAGCTTTTTAGGCATTAAAATATTCTTTTTTATATTGACTTATTGAAATACCTATCACAGGATGAGATCGTGCTTAGAGGACACTCAATTGAATGTCGTATTAATGCAGAAGATGCTTTCAAAAATTTCAGACCTGGACCAGGTATGTCATCATTGGTTTCTGATCACTTTCCATCTGCAACAACATGGTTTTTACAAGCAAAGTGTGAACAATATATTATGGTTGCATCATACCCAGAATATTTGTCTTCATTCCTTTAGTTCTTTTGACATTTAATACTTTTTTTCGGGGATTTG